TGGATTTTAAACCGGTTTGGGATGCTATATCGATACATCGACCGCCCCACTGCCCAAAGCCTTTCCCAGCCCTGATGCCCGGTACCCTTCTAAACGGGAGATGCCAGGGATCTGCCACTCAGTTGCGGACCCTCAAACCCACAAGTGCGAGAAAATGTGCATGGCATTGATCAAATCTTTAGGGGCCTGGCAAAGTGGGCATGTACTTGGGGTTCTCACGTTTGCATGATTCCCTTCTCCGAGGAGCGCAGGGTACAGATGGAGCTATGTCATTCTTTCCTCTCAAACAGTCGCAAGCCCTTATGATGTGGCTTGTGTAGAGATCAATAGAGGTGTAATATTCTGCTTCCGGCCACAAGGACTGTTCTGTTTCCAGTATCGGAGGCCATATGTTGTTGAATCCCAGTTGCTTGGAATCGCAAGTGGGGAGAGGTCCATTGTACCCAGTTCCTATTGGTGCCACTGTGGTCTAAACCACTGAGCCTCTTGGGCTTGCTGATCAGAAGGTTGGCCGTTTGAAACCTAGCAGTTCGAAAGCACCCCAGTACAAGTAGATAAATAGGTACCACTGTGACGGGAAGGTAAACAGCATTTCCGTGGACCCTGGCACTCATCTCGGTCCTCTGTGCACCAGAAGCGGTTTAATCATGATGACATGACCCGGAAAGCTGTCTGTGGACAAATGCCGGCTCAGGCGGGCCAGGGCAGAAAGAGAATGACTTGCTCCAGGGCAGCCAGGGAACTGCATGTCTGAGCAGGGGTTTGAGGCCAGGCCTTCCAAAAATTTCATTAGAATGCAAGAAGAGGCTGCTGGATCAGGCCAATGGCCCATCGAGTGCAACATCCTGTCCTCCCAGTCAGATACTTACTGGGAAGACCACCAGTAGGGTAAAAAGGTAAAGGACCCCTGGACGGTTAAGTCCAGTCAAAGGTGACTATGGGGTTGCGGCGCTCATCTTGCTTCAGGCCAAGGGAGTCGGCGCTTGTCCACAGACAGCTTTCTGGGTTATGTGGTCAGCATGACTAAACCGCTTCTGGTGCACGGAGAACCGTGACGAGTGCCAGGGTGCATGGAAATGCTATTTACCTTCCCATCACAGTGGTATCTATTTATCTACTTGTACTGGGGTGCTTTTGAACTGCTAGGTTGGCAGAAGCTGGGATAGAGGAACGGGAGCTCACTCCGTTGCGCGGATTCAAACCGCCGACCTTCTGATCAGCAAGCCCAAGAGGCTCGGTGGTTTAGACCACAGCGGGACCAGTAGGAACTGGGTACAATGGACTTCTCCCCACTTGCGATTCCAAGCAACTGGATTCAACAACATATGGCCTCTGGTACTGGAAACAGAACAGTCCTTGTGGCCGGAAGCAGAATATTACACCTCTATTGACCTCTACACAAGCCCCATCATAAGGGCTTGCGACTTCTATGTACTGCTGCTGCTCTAAGTAAACCAGTGTGATGTCTTTGCTGAGCAAAGCAGCCTTGCTTCTGTGACACAACACAAAGGCCCCCTTCCCGCCAGCCCCCTCTGCAGAGGGGCAGAGCCCAGCAAGCACCATGGCATCGCGGCAGTGAGGATGGTCAGCGATGCGGGTGACACATGGGGACGTGAGGGTTAACATCAAGCTGCAGCCATGTTGCGACGTTCCCAGAGAACGCCTACAAGAAAAGACCTCCTCTTCGCCGCTGCCTTCCACCAGCAACAGAACGAGGAGGAACCATGGCAGGGGACGTGAGGTATAGCCAGGAGCGTCGTAAAGTTCAGCCTCATTTGTTTAGAAGTCGCGGGCTGACCCCCAGAAATCACGTCTTGCCTTAATGGTTTGGGTTTTAACAGATTAGCACCCCATCTTTTCCCGAAGGAACAACGGTGGTATGCTGAAGGCTCATCCCCTTCCATATGCCCCTGTGTGAGAGCCAGTGTGGTGTAGTGGTTACAGAGTCAGACTAAGACCTGGGAGACCAGGGTTCGAATCTCCACTCGGCCATGATGAAGCTCGCTGGGTGTGTGACCTCGGGCCAGTCACTGCCTCTCACCTGAACCTACCTTACAGCATGTTTTGTGGGGATTAACTGAGGAGGGAGAGAGTCTCGTATGCCATCTAGAGGTCATTAAAGGGGAGGGGGAAGGAGGGATATAAATACAATATATAATAAAATATATACGGGGTCCTCGTCGCGGGATCACATTCACCATACCAGCTGCATTGGCTCCTGGTGGAGTGAAGGATCAGGTTTAAGGTGCTGGTTTTAACCTTTAAAGCCCTATGCAGCCTAGGACCCTCGTACCTATGGGACCGCCTCTCCTGGTATGTCCCACAGAGGACCTTACGGTCTTCAGATAAAAACATCTTGGAGATCCCGGGCCACAGGGAGGTTAGGCTGGCCTCAACCAAAGCCAGGGCTTTTTCGGCTGTGGCCCCAATCTGGTGGAACGCTTTGTCACAAGAGACTAGGGCCCTGCGGGACTTGACATCTTTCCGCAGGGCCTGAAAGACAGAGCTGTTCCACCAGCCAAGGCACAGTCTGACCCCCTCCTTCTGTAAACCTCATAGAACTCTAGCCCAATGGTTGTCATTAATTTGATTCTGAATTGATTTTAGAATGAATTGATTTTAGAATGCATTTCAATTAATTGACTGTGATTTTATGTAAATTGTGCTATTTTTGCTGTTGATAGCCGCTCTGAGCCCAGCTTTGGCTGGGGAGGGCGGGATATAAATAAATTATTATTATTATTATTATGGCAGGGACAGGCAGAGGACTGTTCCAGATTTCGTACCTTAAGAAATGCTGTAGGAATCTTCACATAAAATCCCGTTCCTTAAACTTCACACCACAGCTTTAGTGTTGGAAACAGAGTTCAGGAGCTGGAGGCTGCACAGACAGGAGCAGAGCTGATTCTCGATAACTGGGGTCAAAGCAGGCCAGGATCAGTGTTTCTGCAGGACACGCTGCGACTTCCTCCCGTTGTAAATCAATGGTTGCTATTCATTCCTTGAAAGAAAAGCAATGGTCTGCTCTTGGAGACAGCATTATGCCCTCCATGCTGGATCCTTAAATGTAGGGGTTTATTTTTTAGCATATAATGGAGGGCAGGAAGAGGAAGGGCCGTAGCTCAGGGGCCCAGCAACAGCTTTGCCTGCAGAAATCTATCCACAATGGCATCTGCTTCCTATGTATGTTTTTTCAAGATTAGGGCTCTGTTTATTTATTTACTTATTGCATTTACATCCCACATTTTTCTCCAAGGAGAAAATGCTTCTCCCACTCATCATTTAATTCCCACAACAACCCTTCAGGGTAGGGTAGGCTGAGAGAAATAGAAATATAGATAGATAATAGACATATATACAGAAATAGATAGATGATAGATAGATAGATATAGATATGGCTGGCTCATGTTGTCTTCACAGCACCCTTGCAAGGTAGTCCTTTGGGTTGCTGATAAAGAAATGGAAATATATATAATAGATATATAGATATGGCTGGCCCATTTTATTTCCACAGCACCCCTGCAAGGTAGTTCCTTGGGCTGCCAAGAAAGAAATAGAAATAGAAAACATAAACATAGACATATACAGATAGATAGATAGATAGATAGATAGATAGATATGGCTGGCCCATTTTGTCTTCACAGCACCCCTGTGAGGTAGTCCATTGGGTTGCTGATAAAGAAATAGATAGATAGATAGATAGATAGATAGATAGATATGGCTGGCTCATGTTGTCTTCACAGCACCCTTGCAAAGTAGTCCTTTGGGTTGCTGATAAAGAAATGGAAATATATATAATAGATATATAGATATGGCTGGCCCGTTTTATTTCCACAGCACCCCTGCAAGGTAGTTCCTTGGGCTGCCAAGAAAGAAATAGAAATAGAAAACATAAACATAGACATATACAGATAGATAGATAGATAGATAGATAGATAGATAGATATGGCTGGCCCATTTTGTCTTCACAGCACCCCTGTGAGGTAGTCCATTGGGTTGCTGATAAAGATGGAAATATATATAATAGATATATAGATATGGCTGGCCCATTTTATTTCCACAGCACCCCTGCAAGGTAGTTCCTTGGGCTGCCAAGAAAGAAATAGAAATAGAAAACATAAACATAGACATATACAGATAGATAGATAGATAGATAGATAGATATGGCTGGCCCATTTTGTCTTCACAGCACCCCTGTGAGGTAGTCCATTGGGTTGCTGATAAAGAAATAGATAGATAGATAGATATGGCTGGCTCATGTTGTCTTCACAGCACCCTTGCAAAGTAGATATGGCTGACCCATTTTGTCTTCACAGCACTCCTGTGAGGTAGTCCCTTGGGCTGCTGAGGAAGAATGAGAGAGAGCAGCATCTCTGCCTGGTCCCCAACACCCCCAGCCATCTTCACAGCTGAGGGGGGTTGAGGGCAGGCCTGGGGCTCTGCACCCTGAGCCCGACCTCCTCACCTGTCCGGGGTCACCTGTCCAGGTGTGAGGCAGCATTGGGGGGTGGGGAAGCCATAGAGGCCGAAGACCTCCAAGGGCTAGAAAGGCGGGGACAGAAAAAGAGAAAGAGGGGGGGTTGTTTTCATTCTCTACCACGCTTTACCTGGCCTTTGCCCCGCAGCAGTCAGGCTACTCCGCCCCCTCCGGAGCAAGACCACCCCCCACCCCCCGCTCGCCTTCTTTCCCTTCCCCCCTTTACGAGGAGGCCCCGGTTCCCATGTCCTCGCCCGGCCACGCGGTTGCCACGGTAACGAGGAAGCCGGAAGCCGGGGGGGAACTACGCCTCCCAGAATGCCACGCGGGGCGGCGGCGAAGGAGAATCCGGGCCATTGTCGCGCAGGGCACGCCTAGTTCTTCCCAGAATTCCACAGTCCATTTTAAAAAAACAACAGGCAAACCCTCCAATGCGCAGGCGCGCACGCGCCGGCTTCCCTCACCCGCGGCCGCGTTCCAAACTACCAATCCCGCCGTCCCTTGCGCGCCCCGTTCCTCCCGCTGCCGGCCAATCAGCGGCGAACAGGTCGCTAAGCAGGGAGGAGGAGGCAAGATGGCGGCGAAAGGCGGCGGCGCTGGAGGAGGAGGCGGCGGCGGCGCTAACAAGAACGGGATATTGGAAAAGGTGGACCGGGCTAAGCGGGCTGGGGTCGTTCTGCTTCGAGGGACCCGGGCGGGAAGGGCCTCGGCGAGGGAGGAGGGAGCAAAAAAACAAACCACGCGCGCGCGCCTGGACGAAGGCAGTGGCGGGGAGTTCCGTAGGCTAAGGAACGTTTCCGAGCACAATTCAAAGTGTTGGTGCTGACCTTGAAAGCCCTAAACGGCCTTGGCCCAGTAGACCTGAAGGAGCGTCTCCACCCCCATCGTTCAGCCCAGACACTGAGGTCCAGCGCCGAGGGCCTTCTGGCGGTTCCCTCACTGTGAGAAGTGAGGTTACAGGGAACCAGGCAGAGGGCCTTCTCGGTGGTGGCGCCCGCCCTGTGGAACGCCCTTCCACCAGATGTCAAGGCAATAAACAACTATTTTACTTTTAAAAGACAACAGAGGGCGGCCCTATTTAGGGAAGTTTTTAATGTCTGGTGCTGTATTGTTTTTAATATTCAGTTGGAGGCCGCCCAGAGTGGCTGGGGAAACCCAGCCAGATGAGCGGGGTATAAATAATAAATTATTATTATTAGGCTCCATCCATCCATTCCCAGAGGAGCCACAAGGCAGCTTTCCCCCTCCCCCAATTCCCAGTTCTTCGCGCCATTAGCGTGCAGAAATCGCTGGCGCTGAGTTCAGGGCGGCCAGCAATTCGGGTGGCTTCGGAGGAGTAGGAGGTGCAGCGGCTGCGATGCCACGAGGGCCATCTAGTCCAGCCCCCTGCAACATAGGGATCTTTCGCCCAACGTGGGGCTCCAGCCCGCGACCCTGAGAGCAACAGCCTTGTGCTCTACCCACTGAGCTCTCGTGTCGCTGCTATCATGTGAGGATGCTGGGCGGAAGGTTAGGGGGTGTCCCTTTGGCCTGACCCAGCTGCAGGGCTCTTCGTGTGTTCCTTGATGTCATTGGTGGCCACCAACTATGTTGGCTTTGAAAGAGGGATGTTCATAGAGGAGGAGGCAGGCTGTGCTCTTCCTCCCCTGCAGCATTTCTTTGCACAATTTAATAATAATAATAATTTGTTATTTGTACCCCGCCCATCCGGCTGAATTGCCCCAGCCACTCTGGGCGGCTTCCAACAAGGATTAAAAATCCATTAAAATGTCACGCATTAAAAACTTCCCTGAACAAGAAGGTTATTGACAAGCTGGAAGGTGTGCAAGGAAGGGCGACCAAGATGATTAGGGGTTTAGAAACACAGCCTGATGAGGAACGGTTGAAGGAGCTTGGGATGTTTAGCCTGGGAAAGAGGAGACTGAGAGGAGATGCGATAGTTGTCATCAAATATATGAAGGGACGTCACGTGAAAGATGGCGCAAGCATGTTTTCTCCAGCTCTGGAGGGTAGGACTCGAACCCTTGGCTAGACAAGAAAGGCGAATGCTGACTAAACATCAGGAAGAACTTTCTGATGGTGAGAGCTGTCAGTATCACCTACACTGATGGGCAGCTGCTCTCCAGGGTTTTCAGACAGGGGACTCGCACAGCCCTAGACCAGAGTCTTGAACAAATCTGAATTGTTGCCCTTCGTAGGATTATATCATATTATCCACAGGAAAGCTTGCTTTCTGTCTCCCGTGTTGGAAAGGGATGGATTCAGAATTCCCTTTGAACCTTGGGCAGTTGAAACGTTCCCGCTGTCTCAAGAAGGGTGATGTGTACTTTAAGAAGGGTGATGTGTGTGTCTGTTTTAGAGTTGTAGCGAGTAACAGGAAGCAACCTGCAGAAATGGAAGGAGGAAGGAAGTTCATGGCTTAGCCTCTGACCGCTAGGCCACATTAGCTCTTAGTATCTTTATTAGGCAGGGCTCTATTCAGTCATACTTGGGAGTAGGAATTGAGGGACGTAACTAACTTCGATCTATTCATTACAGCAAGTAAAACTTCATTTAATGCAGCCTAGGGCTTATTCTTCAAGCTTGTGCATCTTTTCAAAAGCCTGTGTTGATTCCTGCTACAATGTTCCACAAGCATATGTATGTTAACAACTGTTTATAACCAAATGTGGGGGAGAGTTTTTTGTTTGAACATGCAAAATGGATCATTTAGCCCCGTATTTTCTCTGTGCATGGGGAGAGGGGGTTTCACGCTTTGCCCTACCACAGTCCTGCTCCAATCTTCTTGTGGTGTGTGTGTGTGGCATGGTCCCAACCTGGCTCTGCTCACAAGCAAAAACCCTGTAGCATAAAATGAAGCATGTCAGGGCTGAAGACATCAACACCACATCTTTTTTCGCCCATGGGGGTCGTTTAACCAGCCCATGGACCCCTGCCTCTTCAGGGACCCCCACTGCCCGCTCAGAGCAGGGACCGCCTTCTGCGACACTAGCCGATTTCCCATTGGCTTCAGGAAGCTCCTGCAGCCAGTGGGAAGCTGCGCATGCATCCTCTGCGCCGGAAGGGGCGCCATAAATAGTGTTTTTTGCCCGCGCGCGCACTCTAGCCCACTGCGGTGTCTGCGGGACTGTGAAACAGCCCAAGCCACAAAAACTTTGCCAACCCCTGTGCTAGAGCCTGGGTTCTTGGAAAGACTCGTGATCTGCCTACCTCTGTTGTAATGGTCAGTGTTATAGGGTTCCCCCTGATATGTGAGGTCCATCGATCAACCCCTGACTGCAGGGGAAACTATTACAGTGGTACCTCGGGTTAAGTACTTAATTCGTTCCGGAGGTCTGTTCTTAACCTGAAAGTGTTCTTAACTTGAAGCACCACCTTAGCTAATGGGGCCTCCTGCTGCTGCCGTGCCGCCGGAGCACGATTTCTGTTCTCATCCTGAAGCAAAGTTCTTAACCCAAGGTACTATTTCTGGGTTAGCGGAGTCTGTAACCTGAAGTGTATGTAACCTGAAGCGTATGTAACCCGAGGTACCACTGTATAGACATTTCACGTGGGCTGTGTCCAGCTAAGTCATACACAAGATAAGCCCATTTAAATCAATGGACTTGCATTAGTCATGGCTAACTTAAGTGTGTCTCCCCTCGAGAATGACCTTTTTGGATGTAATCCAGTGTATTTATCGTCACGTTTAATTGCAGGCAGAGGAATTTGGCAAGCTGCACCTGGTGTTCCTCTCTGCAGCACAAATTATTCCGTCGCTGTCAGCGTTGCACATTTCAGGAGCGCTGCGCTGAAAACATTCACTGGGCCCCAAATTGGAAATGGTTTGGGAGCCAACCAGATGCTGCTGTTGACATAGAAGAGATGATTATAAATTTAACAGACGCACAAGATGACTGACCGCTTTCACCTGTGATAATTGAGGTGCACTCATTGACGCAACTCTTGTGTTTTTGTTCCTTTACCCCCACAGTGGAAGATTGATGACAAACCTGTAAAAGTGGACAAGTGGGATGGTTCGGCCGTGAAGAACTCGTTGGACGATTCCGCCAAAAAGGTACCATTTCCCCTCCCTTGTGGAATAGCCGGGTATTTCCTTCATGGTTTTGCAGGCTTCATTTACTCCTTGCTAGCCCCCTCAGCAGTCAGTTGGGGAATACTTTGCTAAATTCCTGCATCGCTCTGATCCTATGACTCCTCGAGGTCTAGATCGGGTTTGCTCTTTCGTTTGTTAAATGCACTTCTTTCCCCCCTCTAGGTTCTGTTGGAAAAGTACAAGTACGTGGAGAACTTCTGCCTGATAGATGGCCGCCTTGTTATCTGCACAATCTCTTGCCTCTTCGCCATCGTGGCTTTAATATGGGATTACCTTCACCCCTTCCCTGAATCCAAGCCAGTTCTTGCAGTCTGTGTTGTATCATATCCTTTTTTGGTGTGCGGGCTTCATACTCCCCCAAGCGTTCATTCCCCTTCATGGCTTGGTTGCCGAAATCAGATCCAGCCTGCCCTTAAGAGGGTGTCTTGTCAAAGCTGCCCCCACCCCGCTTGCGCAAGACGGAAAGTGCAGTTGTGGAAAGACCTGGGATAGCTCAGTTGGTAGAGCATTAGACTCTTAATCTCAGGTTTGTGCGTTCAAGCCCCACATTGGGCAAAGATTCCTGCATTGCAAACAGTTGAACTACAGTTGCAATCAAAATTATTCAACTCCCATTGCAAATCGGGTTTATTATCAAAAATTTACAGGCTTTCAGCTGTTTGCAATGGGCAAATCAAACAACAGCAATTGAAATACAGTGGTACCTTGGTTTACAACCATAATCCGTTCAGGAGGTCCGGTTGTAAACCAAAACAGGTTGTTAACCCAAGGCGCGCTTTCACCAATGGGGCCTCCCCCCCCAAAAAAAAATTGGTTGCAATCAAAAAAAAAGGGACACACACTTCCAGGTTTGACGTGGGTGTAATCTAAAACGGTTGTAATCCAAAACGGTTGTAATCCAAAGTGGTTGCAAACCAAGGTACCACTGTAGCTCGACACAACAGATGCTTCAAGTGGTTCCCCCAGATTCAGCTGAAAATGCAACTTCTACAGTGGTACCTCAGTTTAAGAACAGCCCTGTTTACGAGCGATTCGGTTTACGAACTCTGCAAAACCGGAAGTAGTGTCCCGGTTTGCGAACTTTACCTCGGTCTAAGAACGGAATCCATACAGTGGAAGGGCGCCGGCAGCGGGAGGCCTCATTAGGGGAAGCACACCTCGGTTTAAGAACACTTTCAGTTTAAGAACAGTCTTCTGGAATGGATTAAGTTCGTAAACTGAGGTACCACTATACGTTGATATTCACTAGAATGTCAAATGCAATGGCATATAAAGCAAACAACAACAATGAAATATAAATAAAAAATAAAAACATTGTCCACTAGCACCTTAGAGACCGCCACCCCAGAGTCGTCCGCGACTGGACATAACATTCAGGGGTCCTTTTAAGTTTGTTCATGGTATGAGCTTTCGTGGGCATGCACACTTCTTCAGAAACTCAAGCACACGAAAGCTCTTACCAAGAACAAACTTAGTTGGTCTCTAAGGTGCTACTGGACATTTAAAAAATACCGTATTTTTCGCTCTATAACACGCACCAGACCATAACACGCACGTAGTTTTTAGAGGAGGAAAACAAGAAAAAAATATTCTAAACAAAACAGTGGATGTATGATTTTTGTGGTTCATGCTGTGGCCACAGACATGTGATCTGACGGTGAGTTTGGGGTAGCCCAATGCAAAAATCCTGAGGATCCATGTGGATCCATGCTAAAGTCGCCCTAAAGTCGCAGGGGCGCTGGGGGAGTGAACAGGAAGCAGGAGGAGGAGAACAATCCCTCTCACACACAGAGACACACACACACACAGAGTATCAATCCTAAAGTCGCAGGAGAGGCAGGGGCGCTGGGGAGTGGGAAGCAAGAGAAGGAGAACGATCCCCCCCCTCTCTCTCTCACACACACACACACAGTATCAATCCTAAAGTCGCAGGAGAGGCAGGGGCGCTGGGAGTGGGAAGCAGGAGAAGGAGAACGATCCCCCCCCCCTCTCTCTCTCACACACACACACACACAGTATCAATCCTAAAGTCGCAGGAGAGCGCAGGGGCGCTGGGAGAGTGAAGGGGAAGCAAGAGGAGAACGATGCCTCACACACACACAGACACACACACACACAGAGTATCAATCCTAAAGTCGCAGGGGCGCTGGAAGTAGCAGGGGCGCTGGGAGAGTGAAGGGGAAGCAAGAGAAGGAGAACGATGCCTCACACACAGAGAGACACACAGAGTATCACTCCTAAAGTCGCAGGAGAGCGCTGGGGCGCTGTGAGAGTGAACAGGAAGGAGGAGGAGGAGAACGATAGCTCAAGCACACACACACACACACAGCCCCTACAGTGGCTGATCCAAAATCGGACAGCAAAAAACTGCAGGCAGGGACACGGGGTTGTTTTAAAGCAACCAGCCCCGATCTGCTTCTCTCCCTCCTCCCGGCTAGGCTGGCTGAAAAGCTTTGCTGCTACTTAGCAGCTCAGTGGAGAAGAGAGAGGGACATAGAGCACGGGGTTGTTTTAAAGCAACCAACCCCGCTCTGCTTCTCTCCCTCCTGCCCGGCTCGGCTCGCTGACAGGAGCCGCTTACACCCGCTTTGCAGTTTCAAAGAGAGCCACGGACTGCTCACAACTGCAGCGGATTCCCCTGCCATCTGTAGGCATTCGCTCCATAACACGCACAGACATTTCCCCTTACTTTCCAGGAGGAAAAAACTGCGTGTTATAGAGCGAAAAATACGGTATATTTCTACTGCGTCAGACCAACACAGCTACCTACCTAAATCAACAACAATGAATTCATCAAGACAATTCAATAAAGTCATAGTAATACATGACTTCCTAATCACATGGAACCTTACTCCAGAACCCTGTCCACACAAGAGGAAAGGCCACACTGCTGGGGAAAACCCCTTTCTGATTTCTTGCGATTTTGTATAGGATTGCAGAGTTAGAAGGGATCCAGAGCGTCATCTAGTCCAACCCCCTCCCCCCAAAAAACGCAGGCATCCTCCCATCCAATTTGAAACCCTACTGGACCATTGCTTAGCTTTGCAAACGCACTGGCAGTTTTATTGCTGCTCCCGTCAAGTGGGCTTGAGCCCGGTGGCATTCCTCGTTTGCAAAACCGTCAGATCCGGGCCCGTGGCTTTCATAGGGCAATAATTCTCTTTTCCGGCTCTCTTTTCCTTAATGTCTCCCCACGTATTTTGTTATGATGGGGATTCTGACCATCTATACCTCGTATAAGGAGAAGAGCATCTTCCTTGTAGCACATAGGAAAGATCCAGCTGGAATGGATCCTGATGACATCTGGCAGCTTTCCTCGAGTCTGAAAAGGTACCAGCCTCTTCTCTCCCCTCCCGCCCTGGGAGAAACCTTCTAACGATGTTCAGGGCTTTTGAGTATTCTCTCCATTTCTGTATTTGTACCCCGCAGCTGTAGGGGCTGGTTTCGGGTGTCGAATTTGGCGCCCTGAGAATCTCGGCGGTCATTTGTCTGGAGGAAGCACAAGTTTCTAGCCCTGGATGTTGCGCATGTAGCTCAGAGTCAGAGCGCCTGTCTCTGCTTACATGCCTGGCATCTCCCAGCAGGGCCCGCAAGGACCCCTCTGAAACACTAGGCAGCGGCTGCCTGTCAGTGTAGACAGTACTGAGCCAGATGGACCCAGTAGTCTGACACTGTGTTCTTGCATAAGCTGAAACTGCATAAGCCAGAGGTGGGCAGCTGAGCAGAGTTTCCAAGGTGTACGTGGCGAGGTTCCTGAGATTTGCATATTTCCTTGGTGACCAGAATAAATTGGGCCCAGTAAGCAAATGTGGCGCAGCTCTAGTTAATTCGCAGAGTTCGCTCAGGCCACGAATGTTGCTCCTCAGTGTAGAAGCAACGTCTCCCCCATAGAGCATGCACGGCCGTGCCTTGCCGTCCTCAGTTCCCCATTTCTGCCCTCTTCCTGTTTGCCAGCGGTGCCACCTCCTTTATTTACTATAATAATTAATAATAATAATTTATTTATCCCCGCACATCTGGCTGGGTTTCCCCAGCCGCTCTGGACGGCTCCAACAGAATATTAAAAACACGATAAAACATCAAACATTAAAAACTTCCCTAAACAGGGCTGCTTTCAGATGTTTTCTTAAAATCTGATAATTGTTTATTTCTTGGACATCTGATGGGAGGGCGTTCCACAGGGCAGACGCCACCACCGAGAAGGCCCTCTGCCTGGTTCCCTGTAACCTTGCTTCTCGCAGGGAGGGAACCGCCAGAAGGCCCTCGGAGCTGGACCTCAGTGTCCGGGCTGAACGATGGGAGTGGAGATGCTCCTTCAGGTCAACTGGGCTGAGGCCATTTAGGGCTTTATATTTATTAAATTTATATATAGCCCTTAATCAATAGATCTCAGGGCGGTTCACAGAATAAAATACAGGATAACAACAAGTAAATTAAGTAAAACCAAACAATAACCCCCGCTTCCCACAGACTCATTCATAAGGCTATAGAATATTAATTTGCCCAAGGCCTGGTTGAAGAGGAACATTTTTGCCTGGCGCCTAAAGATCAGTGGTACCTTGGTTTTCGAACAGAATGCGTTCCGGGAGTCCGTTCGACTCCTGGAACCATCCAAAAACTAAAGTGTGGCTTCCGATTGGCCGCAGGAGCATCCATGCCGGATGTTCGGCTTCCAAAAATTGTTTGAAAACCGGGACACTCACTTCTGGGGTTTCGATCGTTCGGGAGCCAAGACATTCGGCTTCCAAGGTACGACTGTATATAGAAGAGCACTCCGCAAATGGGGAGCCACTGCAGAAAAGGCCCTGTTCCTGTGTTGCCACCCTCTGGACTTCACATGGAGGGCACACATAGAAGGGCCTCATGATGAATGCAGATTCCAGGGTGGTTTATATAAAGAAAGGCGGTCCTTGAGGTATTGCGCTTGTAAGACCTTAAAGGAACCTTAACCTTGCCGTCGCAGAGCATAGCAGCCAAATCTTGCCCTCACAGTCCTGCAGACTGCCTCGCTGCTAATTATTCAGATTAAGCACTTGAAACCCGCTCATGCTACACAATCACCGTTATCCCTAAGAAAACATAGTGACAGTTTGAAACGGATAATTCTTGGCTTGCAGGATCACGCTGCTGAAAGCTTGTTCTTCACCACGGTGCTAAACTGGAGGTGGGAGACTCTCGCCCAGGGAAAGCTGCATGCAGAATATTCCTTCCACGTACAGAGCTAGGATTTGCTCTCTCAGGCTAATTTTCTATGAGGACAGTGGGAACTGCTTGTGGAAAATCATGTTGGCCTTCTCCTCTTGCCCCTGGAATGGTTCAGCCTTCCCCATTGAGAGTCGGGCTGAACTATCACAAGTTATTGAGTGCTATTAGGTTGGCTATGCCCTTTTTAAAAGTGTTGGGGGGGTGTTACTGGGTTGTTTTTAATTTTTATTATGTATTTTGTGTTTTTTATATTGTGGTTTTATGTTGTAACCACCCTGAGACCTGGAGGCGTAGGGTGGTATACCAATTTAATAAATAATAGTAATAGCAATAATACCAGTTTCTGGAAATCAGAATCCTGCTTGCAGGATTCCCAAAATCTCCTGATTTCCCAAAGTCTCCTGATTGGCCAGTGTGAAAACAGGATGCTGGACTCAATAAGAAGTGCAGGGCGTCTAGTGAGATTCCGATCCGTTTAACCAGACTAATATAATCATAATTTATACCCCGCCCATCTGGCTGGGCTTCCCCAGCCACTCTGGGTGGCTCCCAACAAAATATTAAAAATACAGTGGTGCCCCGCAAGGCAAACGCCTCGCAAGACGGAAAACCCGCTAGACGAAAGGGTTTTCCGTTTTGGAGGCACTTCGCAAAACGAATTTCCCTATGGGGTTGCTTCAAAAGACGAAAAAATCTTGCGAGTCCCCGCGGGGTTTTTTTGCTTCCCCCCCCTTTTCCTAAGGCGCTAAGCCGCTTATCAGCTGTTCCGCTGATAAGCCGCTTAACAGCTGATCGCGAAAAACCGCTAGACCGCTGTAGCACTAATTCGCTAAGCTGTCAATGGGCTTGCTTCGCAAGACGAAAAAACCGCTAGACGAAGAGAAGCACGGAACGGATTCTTTTCGTCTTGCGAGGCACCACTGTACAATAAAACATCAGAACTATTAGGTTCAGCTCTATAATGCAGCTGCAAGCAGAACTGAAATGGCTTGACCTCCAGCTCTCTCTGCTCCTGCAACCACCTCTCCAGGTTTGACGACAAATACACCCTGAAGATGACATTCATCAGCGGCAGAACCAGGCAGCAGAGGGAGGCGGAATTCACCATGTCCATCGCCAAATTCTTCGACTGCAACGGCACCTTAGTCATGGAAGCCTTTGAGCCAGAAATCTCCAAGCTTCACGACAGCCTGCTCACAGAGAGGAAGATAAAGTAGGAGGCTCCGTCCGGCGTCCACCTTACCCGCTGGGCTCATGCTGAGTTTAAGCCAATAAAGCAAAATAGCAACGAATGTTAGCCTCTGTTTTTGTCCTGAGATCTCTCTCTTTCTCTTTCTGTTCTTCCTTCCTTTCTCTGTCTCTCTCCTGGGGGGGGGGAGAAAAGATTTTAAATTTCAGACATACAAAACAGATGCAAAGATCCAGCCAGGATTCGCTTTGCCTCGCTTTGAGAACGTCTTCAACCTGCTCCATCAGGTTCCTTTGCTACTATGAAGGTGGACTTGCTAAGGACTCTCAGAAGGGGGGAGGTTGCATAGCCCTCTGTAGAATTATTTTTATTTTAAGCTGGCAACTGCTTTAGGAGGCAGCCCTGCACCACGCAGCATTTATCACAAAAGCTCTGCTGAATTAATTTTTGCCTTGGCTGCTGGCTGCGAAAGGATTCTTAGGTTTTTATGTTAGGGATTCAAGACAGGACTTGCATTATTAAGCCAACGTTGTACATTTGCAAGCAAGTTTTGATTTTTATATATATATTTATCAATCAGGCGGAAGGAAAATGATTTTTTTTTAATAAGAAAACCTTTTATTGGATGGAAGAGAGACCTGGGAAGGAAGCTGAGTAAATCTGCCAGGGTGTATTTCAGGACAAAGGCAACGGCAGGAGTTAGTAAAAGAAAACAACAAGGAGGGGTTTAAAATCCATTCCATCTGTTTTTTGTCCCATCTGGTGCATTTGATTCGTGCTGAAAAATCTCTTCTATCCCTTCTGTGAACAGCCATTTTCTAAAATGACTTTTTTCTCCAATAAAAGGAACAAATTTAAGTCAAAACAGTGTGAAAGTGTTCATGGGGTTGGGAGTGGAATCAAAGCGGTCCTGTTGTCTCTCTCACAAATGTAATAGATTGTGTGACCTCAACACACTCGATAACAGATACAGTGGTGCCCCGCAAGACGAATGCCTCGCAAGACGGAAAACCCGCTAGACGAAAGGGTTTTCCGTTTTGGAGGTGCTTCGCAAAACGAATTTCCTATGGGCTTGCTTCGCAAGACGAAAATCTCTTGCGAGTTCCTGCAGGGTTTTTTCCCTCCCCCCCCCCTTTTCCCCCAAGCCGCTAAGCCGCTTATCAGCTGATCCGCTAAGCCATTAAGCCGCTTAACAGCTGATCACTAAGCCGCTTATCAGCTGATCCACTAAGACGCTTAACAGCTGATCCCCTAAGCTGCTAAGCCGCTTATCAGCTGATCCCCTAAGCCGCTAATGGGCTTGCTTCGCAAGACGAAAAAACCGCAAGACGAAGAGGATCGCGGAACGGATTCTTTTCGTCTTGCGAGGCACCACTGTATGCGTAACACAAACGTACGCCAGCAGCCAAATTCGGAAACCTTTTTGAAAATATGTATTTCTGAGGTTTGATGGCGCATAACAGCAGCCTTTTAAAAGAGTAATACCATAAGATTATATATCATTAGAAAAATAATATAATGCAGAATATAATGCAACAAACAAGGCAGTGGCGTCAGGAAGAAGCGGAATTAATTTTAGTTGAGAAGCTGCCTTCTACTGAGTCAAGGACCCACTGCATGCAAGCAGATGTTCTGCCACTGAGTTCCATCTCTTCTCCCAACCAATGCTTTTAATCTGCCACCTTCTGGTAAATACTGTATTTTTCGCTGCATGAGACGCACCTGACCATAAGACGCACCTAGTTTTTAGAGGAGGAAACAAGAAAAAAAAATTCTGAATGAAACAGTGGATGTATGATTTTTATGGTTCAAGCTGTGGCCACAGACATGTGATTTGATGGTGAGTTTGGGGTAGCCCAATGCAAAAATCCTGAGAATCCATGTGGATCCGTGCATTGTAACCACGTTTTTGCGCCATTGCGGCCCCACGAAACAGTGGGTGTGTGATTTTTTTGGTGCAGGCTGTAGCCATGGACATGCTATGTGATCTGATGAAGAATTCGGGATGACCCAATGCAAAAATCCTGAGGATCCATGTGTTTTTTCCTTCCCCTTCCCAGGCAGCCTCCTTTATTTCTAGAGTCCCTTATCTCCCGATCCCTTGCCAATCAGCTGTTCAGCGGCTTTGTTTCAACACTCCCTTCCCTCTTGTTTGCCTTAGTGCCTTTTCCTTAGCTGGAGCAGTTTCTTGCTCCTCTTTTCTTCTAATTTCTCTCCTCATTGCTTTAGTCTTCCTGTCTCCTCTCCTTGCAAGTTCGCTGTCTTTACCTCCCCCCTCCCAGGCAGCCTCCTTTATCTCTAGCATTCCTTATCTCTCTCCCCGATCCGCAAACAATCAGCAGCTTTGTTTCAACACCCCCTTCCCTCTTTTTAAAAAAGAAAGCATGATCTGCTTTTCGCCCCTGGGCAATTCGGCTCCAGGGACAACGCATTCGCTCCATAAGAAGCACAGGCGTTTCCCCTTACTTTTTAGGAGGAAAAAAATGAGTCTTATGGAGCGAAAAATACGGTAATTAAATCACCACCATCGTTTTATTTGCAAGCCACCTTTCAGCCCACAAAAAAATCAAAGCGACTTACAACAACAAAAACAGCGATACATCTCAAAATCGATCTCAAGAACAATTTGATAACGTGATTACCAAAACTACAATGTGATAGCAAATACGGTACGATAACATCTTATGGAATCGGAGAATTGTAGAGTTGGAAGGGACGTCAAGGGGCATCTAGTCCGACCCCTGCAGTGCAGGAAGATTTTATGCGTGTTTCGCCTGAACAGTTTGAATCGAACGCGTTTGAAGGCAGGCTGGTTGAAATTGCGCATGTGGGTGTCTCTGCTCATGGATAGCTGCTGAGAGTTGCATGCCTTCACCATGCGGCAGCTAGACTGGTGACTGGGAGCGGCCGCCGAGACCACATACTGTATTTTTTGCTCTATAAGACTCACTTTTTCCCTCCTAAAAAGTAAGGGGAAATGTCTGTGCGTCTTATGGAGCGAATGCAGGCTGCGCATCTATCACAGAAGCCAGAACAGCAAGAGGGATTGCTGCTTTCACTGCGCAGCGATCCCTCTTGCTGTTCTGGCTTCTGAGATTCAGAATATTTTTTTTCTTGTTTTCCTCCTCCAAAAACTAGGTGCGTCTTGTGGTCTGGTGCGTCTTATAGAGCGAAAAATACGGTAACACCGGTCCTGAAAGACCTACATTGGCTCCCAGTATGTTTCCGAGCACAATTCAAAGTGTTGGTGCTGACCTTTAAAGCCCTAAACGGCCTTGGCCCAGTAATAATAATAATAATAATAATAATAATAATAAATTTTTATTTATACCCTGCCCTCCCTGGCCAAAGCCGGGCTCAGGGCGGCTAACACCAGTACAATTACAATAAAAACATAATGGGGAGTGGAGGGGAAAAAACAATTTAAAATACAGGTTAAAATACAATTTAAAATGCAGCCTCATTTTAATAGCCCATAGATCAAAACCATAACGGGAGGGAAACATAAGGGTCAGACTGAGTCCAAACCAAAGGCCAGGCGGAACAGCTCTGTCTTGCAGGACCTGCGGAAAGATGTCAAGTCCCGCAGGGCCCTGGTCTCTTGTGACAGAGCGTTCCACCAAGTCGGGGCCAGTACTGAAAAGGCCCTGGCCCTAGTTGAGACCAATCTAACCACCTTGCGACCTGGGACCTCCAAAGTGTTGTCATTTGTGGACCTTAAGGTCCTCTGCAGGGCATACCAGGAGAGGTGGTCCCGTAGGTAGACCTGAAGGAACGTCTGCACCCTCATCGTTCAGCCAAGACACTGAGGTCCAGCTCCAAGGGCCTTCTGGCAGTTCCCTCACTACGAGAAGCGAGGTTACAGGGAACCAGGCAGAGGGCCTTCTCGGTGGTGGTGCCCGCCCTGTGGAACACCCTCCCGTCAGATGTCAAGGAAATAAACAACTATCTGACTTTTAGAAGGCATCTGAAGGCAGCCCCTGTTTAGGGATGGTTTTAATGTTTGATGTTTCATCGTGTTTTTAATATTCTGTTGGGAGCCGCCTAGAGTGGCTGGGGAAACCCAGCCAGATGGGCGGGGTATAAGTAAAAAATTATTATGATTACATTATTATAGTAAGCATAGGAGGTCTTCCTTACCTGCGGAGGTTGGCGAGGCTGACAAAGACGTTGGCGTGGGAGAGGCGGTTGTCGTCCAAGAGCAAGACTTTCAGAGCTGGGAACCTAGGGGAGCTCTCACTGCCCAGGGAAACATACAGTGCCTTTGGCTGTGCCACATCACTCAGGAAAAGGCAAAAGGGGAGAGAAGGGTGCAGTGGAAGACTTTGACAGGGAAAGGAAGAGATGTGGACCCCTCAAGATGCTGAGCTACAACTCCCATCATCCCCCAGCTAGCAGATCCTGTGGTTGGAGGTGATGAGAATCGTAGCCTAACAACAACCAGAACGCACCACGTTGCTTTTCCCTGATCTACAGGTTCCACAAACAGCCCTGTTTAGGGAAGTTTTTAATGTTTGCTCTTTTATTGTGTTTTTAATAACCTGTTGGAAGCTGCCCAGAGCAGCTGGGGAGGCCTGGCCAGATGGGCGAAGCATAAGTAATATTATTATTATTATTATTATTATTATTATTATTATTATTATTATTATTATTATTATTTCCTCGGGATCCCAAATCTGTTAGTGAGGCAGAGTTTCATGATTCCAACCAAACCGGTTTCTAGATCAGTGTTTCCCAACCTTGTGCCTCCAGCTGTTTTTGGCCTACAATTCCCATCATCCCTTGCCACTGGTCTTGCTAGTCAGGGATGATGGGAGTTGTAGTTCAAAAACAGCTGGAGGCACAAGGTTGGGAAACACTGTTCTAGATGATTATGATTGTTCTGATTATACTTCACACCGGCTGCCTTGCCCTGCAGCTGTTACAGAACCTTCTTATACCTCCATTAAAAAACGCCTGGTGCTCGTTCTGGCATGGTGGCTCCTCACCCAAAGATGAAGATGTGAAACTCGTATTGACAAGACAAGGGCAGAAGGAAGGGACACCTGTCTAGGTAAACGCATCCTTTCATAAATTGTGCATTCGGGATATATGCTGAAGGTA